TCGGCGCAGAGCTCGAGGCGTCACGCGAAAACGAGATACAACACGGCCGGGGTCTGCAGAGGTCTGGGCTCTGACACATCGACACAGGTGCGCCTATTGTGCGCGTACGCCATTGACTGGCGACATTGCTATTGCTGATTGCCGTCATCGGCGGCCCAGCTGTCATTGACACCGCCGTCGACACCGACATGGCCGCGGGAGGGAGGGGGTCGCGGGTCAGCATCCGCCGATAACAGTCGCGCTCTCGAGAATTTTATTTTTTGGAGTCTTTTCTTAATTCCTTCCGCGCGAAAGAAAAAACGGCGGCGTCAAAATGACGGGGGGTATTAGTGAGAGCGTCGCGATTAAACGATCGACCGTTATGCAACGACTTTTACCGGAAAAGCGGGATGAAACCTGCATTGCGATCACTTCGCGGAACAGTGCGTTCTAATTGAAACGCCTGGTTCCGGCGTTGGTTATGCTTCTTTCACAAATATAATAAATTATATCTCTCCCAATCTCTCCGAGATACTTTATTCGCGATACGAGATACGAGGCATTTTATTTCTGATCCGGATATAATCTGAAAAGCTTCTTCGTCGAGCGTTCTCCGTACCGACGAAGAAACGCGGGCTTTTAGGGAGAGAAATAAGGGAGAGATGTCGCGACGTGTGAATTTGATCACGTGTGCTGGGAAAGCATGGCGAGCACCGAGCATGTGTGACTTGTGTGAGCATGTGGCGTGACGCGTGAGGTAGCCGGCGTGTGTTTTGCAACGTGAGGCTCGAATAAGAATTAAAACCCTTTTAAGTCACGCATCAGCGCGAGGAAAATGAAGGGGCCTTCGAGGGTACACTAAATTCTGTTGTTATATCTTATTCATTCGGCGAGGCATCGAGTCGGACTTCCTACTCTATAACCTCAAATTGTTTTATATTTCTGCATCAATTACAAATTTTTCTGTTAAATCTAAATTTAAAATATTAGTGTATATTTGTATATATTTTAATTTAGACATATTGTTTCTTAATACGTAATAACGTTTGAACTGTCATTTAAAGTGATGATTTATGAACACACTGTTTATAATTGATATTTATGTTAATTTGAATATTAGTGTATTTATATATCTGTGCTTTAGAAGTAAAGAATCTTCATTATTATAAATTTTGAGAAAACAAGGTTTAAAGTTTCTTATTTCTTTGAAAATTTCCAGTACAACTTCGATTAAACATTATATCTTAGGAATTAGTAATAATGGACGTAAGACCCTTTACTGCCCTTTACCATTATACAATTTAAGCTCCTGGTATAGTTGAAAAAGTATTAACTACATTTCGACAAAAAATGAGATATAATTCTTTACCTCTAAGATACCGATATATTTTGAAATATTATTTCTTAATGTGTAATGATGTTTGGATGAGAAGAAATGAAAGAAATAAGACATTTGATGAATAATTTCAGTCGAGCAAAGCAAAGAGCAACAGGCACGAGGCTGAATGTGCCATTGAAGATGAAGATTCGATGAATTCTGAATCCGACAACGAAAGTACAGTGAATTCAGAGGTTGACGATGAGGATCCAGTGGAGTCTGAATCTGATAATGCAGATCTGATGGAAGACACGAACGATGATGAGGATCCTGAATCTGACAATGCGGACTCAGTAGAAGATGAAGAAGAAGGAGAAGTAGAAGAACTGGAAAATCACGAGACTGAATCTCACGCAGTAAATTCAGAGAAGAAGAGAAAGAAAGTCACGGACGAGTTAACGGAGGCAGTGCCCAAGAAGAAGAAAAAATTTGAAAACAGCCTTTACAAGCAGCCAACAGTCGAAGAACTCAGTCAGCTTAGGGAAACCGAGAATTTATTTCACTCGAATCTGTTCCGATTACAAATCGAAGAGGTTCTCAACGAAGTGAGGCTCAAAGATAAATATAAAGCGTTATTTGAGATTTGGTTTGGGAAGTTGAAAGCAGCGATTGAATCTGTCGAAGAGACTGAAGAAGTTCCGGTTAGTAAATTGAACTGCATGATATAAGGCAATAAAATAATATTTGATTTATTATATTGATGTATTTCAGCTTGTAAATAATAATTTGGATCATGAACTGGGCATTTGCATTCCTGTGCCGCATATACCAAAAGAAACCAAGAGCGTTTTCAAATTCTTGAAGCCGATCAACGTCAGCGTGGTTGGATCTTACGATTTTGGATGTATTCTCGGTCCTACCGTTACCGTGGATGTAATGGTGGAGATGCCGGCTACTTTATTTCGGAAGCAGGATTATCAGAACTATGTATATTTTAGAAAAAGAGCGATATACCTGGCGTTCGTAGCGTCGATTATAGGAAGCGACATCGCCGAGAGTAAGAGATTTATCGGCGACAATCTAACACCTTCCTTGAAGCTTCGACCCAGCGGAAGATTGAACAAGAAGGTGGACGTAGTAATACACGTATCCGCGCAGGAAACCAGCTTCAAGTTGAATAGATTTCTGCCGGAGAAAAATAGCGTTAGGCCAGGATGGTATTTCAACGAGAAGTCTATGGAAGACAGTAAGAGTTACATGATGGATTTATAATACTTTACATAGATCGATGGAAGTGTTTTAAATTTTTCATATTGTATTGTCTTTTTTCCTACAGCATCTTTACCGCCTACTTCGCACTACAATTCTCTGGTATTGCGCGACCTAGTGATGTCGAGGACAAATTCCGAAGTCGCGCAAGTAATAAAAGCATATCCAAATTTGAGGGACGGTATAATCCTACTGAAAATATGGTTGCGCCAACGCGAATTGAACAAGGGATACGACGGCTTCACCGGCCACATCGTCACAATGTTTGTAATCTATTTGTTGCGCGAGAAAAAGCTCAACACTTTCATGAGCAGCTATCAGATTGTACGGAATGTCTGGATTTGCCTAGGTATCTTGGAAAAAGTTGCTAGTTAAATTACGCTGTTCTCTTACATTATATAAGATGTTAATTGTAGATATTATTTGACGTAGAACAGGGAAATTGGTGCGAGAACGGAATTACCATGTGCGAAGACAAAGATAATCAGAAACAAGTGTCCCATTATCACAATTATTACGATTGTGTCTTTCTTGATAGTACCGGCTATCACAATTTCGCGGCGAATCTGTCGAAGGATACCTTTTCGTGGGTACAGAGAGAAGCGGCGTCGTGCCTGAAGCATTTGGACAACCTACACGTGGATAGCTTTCATGCACTTTTTATGCGAAATGTACCATTTCACAGAGCATTTGATCATATTTTATGGTAATTTATATGAGAAGAGAATTTAATGTAAAATTTATATGTACTTGAGAGCGCCACATCCATTTTAATAACTTATCATTCCTATGTGTGTAGTTTTCAGGATAAGTCAGTTTTAGAGAGAGTTGTGAATGATAAATCCAGCGTGGACGACAAACTGAATTACGGGCCTGACAAACGTAGTCAGGTGATTAAATTATTTTTCGAAGTTCTGAAGAAAGGTCTAAAAGATAGGATTAATCGATTATGCGTATTACCCAGTATATGCAAGGAATGGGAATGTACTGAGGTGATGCCAGATAGTATTGAGAAGCTCGTTATTGGACTAGAATTGAATCCTGAAACATGTTTTGACATCGTGGACAAAGGACCTGAAGCTAATCTACCAGAAGTAAGCAACTCATTGAAATAAAATGCCTTAAACAATACGATAATGAAGTAAAGAATATATAATAATTGTCATTTAAAGTATTTATTATTATATTGCATGCCACAAGATATAAGACTTCGTATTTTATTTTGCAGGCAATTGACTTTAGAAATTTTTGGGGCGATAAGTCTGAATTACGCAGATTTAAAGACGGAACCATTCGTGAGGCTGTGGTTTGGTCGAAAGGCAAAACTCTCACAGACAAGAGAATAATATGTAAGAAGATAATAGTTTTTCTGCTAAAAGCAAAGTTTAACATCCTCAAAAAACATTATTTATATGTCGCGGATCAAATGGAAGATTTGCTAAAGTTGCACAAGGTAATTTTACAATTGCTATTTAATACAATCATTTTCAATTAAAGTGCGTTGTTTTAAATTATCGTTATGTTCTTTAAATTTTACGTAATTTATGATTATATACTTTTATTTAGTACAAAATAACGCACTTCGTATACGGCACTGGCGAAGAAGCTACATTAAAGGTTCTACAAGCTTTTAACACTTTGGAAAAGAATTTGATGTCACTAAAGGATATGCCTTTGACGATAAATGGTGTGCAGGGTTCGAGCCCGGTTTTTCGATACGCGGAAATCTTTCCGCCACTTGCTACTGTCCATCGGAAGACCGATGGTGTCACCGAGGAAGACAAAAATTGTTTGAGCCTTTCAAAGAACATCACGAAATGCCCTATGTATGTTCACGCGCTTGATGCGACGTTACAGTTATCGACTAGCGGGAAATGGCCTGAGGAACTGGAAGCCATTAGGAAGACAAAGGCGGCGTTTCACATACAAATCGCGGAATGCCTCAGGACTCAACATGAACTGACAGTGCAGGCCAATCCTTCTTATGTAGATGTGTACCAGGTTAATATGATGGATTATTTTAACAGTATAATGTAATAGTATCGTATTTGTAATATTAATTGTATTTTAAATGGGAATATCCTGTAGTATTACATTTATAACAGCACACTCTTCTTGATGTAATATGAAATTTTCTTTTTTATTAGAACGGATTCGTTTTTCGATTAAAAGTGGCGCACCAGAAGGAAATTGCATTAATGAAACAAGTCAAGGAGAATGGAGTAATTAAATACAGAGACAATGAGGAATCCATTGAACTGGAAAACAAATTGTTTCATTTACCGAAATTGAGTAGTGCTTTGCATGGGTAAGAATTGATGAATCCTTGTTAGGACAATTTCTATAGAATGTTAAGGAGCATACCTTTTATTTTTGAAAATATTTTTCCCGAATGGTAATTTTTCTCTCGAATTTAATCGTTAGCAGATATCTCTTGGACTTTGTGATATAAAAGACGTTATAATTAATAGTAGTCTATAAGATGGTGGAGAAAAAATTATAATTTTTTGAGATTTCATATATTATACCAAAAGTTTAACAAAATTTATTGATATTGAGGATTAAATAAGATATCTATAATAGTTCGTACAATAGATAAATCATGTGCAATAAATAAAAAGATATATACAGTATATATGACATTCTCGTTCTTTTAGGTTGCATTCTCAGCAACCATCGTTCGGTCCCGCTTGCTGTTTGGCGAAACGATGGTTATCGGCGCAGCTCTTGGACGACACACACATACCAGGAGTTGTGATTGAATTGCTCGTGGCATCGCTGTATCTCGCACCGGAGCCGTATAAGCCGGCTCAGACGCCGCAAGTGGCATTTCTACGATTCCTCGAAATTGTTGCGAGAGCTCACTGGAACACTGATCCCGTCATTGTTAATTTCAATGGCGAAATGACCAGTAAGTCCATATCTTAATATATTTTCTGTTTTTCTATTTTTCTAAAACGTGAATTTCCGTAATGCATTATCGTGAAATTATCACTTCATTGAAAAAATGAATTGATACTAAAATCAAAGTTGACTGTAGATAGATAAAGATGATAACGAGCGGAAATAATCTCACTTTAAATTTTATATTATCGCAAAATCTGTATTATCGCTTCTGACCTTGTTACATAAGAGAATGTATGATGTTAAATTTCACAGATG